TTTTTTTTTTTGGAGACAAGATCTCATTGTGTAGTTGAGACTGACCTGGAACTCACTATGTAGCCCAGGCTGGTCTCAGACTCACAGCGATCCTCCTGCCTCAGCCTCCCATGTTCTGGGATTACAGATGTGGGCCACCATACCCAGCTAGTTGATTTTTAATGTTTAATTTTTTCTGTATTGTTTGAATTTTGTCAGTTTGTAACTGACAGTTATCTTTAGAGGTTTAATTAGATTTAGGTTCAGTTTTGGTGGCACTGTGCACTTTCTTTTGTATCACATTTTTAGTGATGTAAGATTGATTGATGGAGCCAGACTATCTGAGAACTGTTAGCCACAACTCATCTCACACCTTTAGGGCAAAATATCTCTTGTATTATTTTCTGAACTAATAGATCACATTGAAGTTTTTGTTATTTGTTTCCTAAGTAGCTTAAGCTGGTAATGGTTTTGGAGTTTTATCTAGAGGTAGGACAGAAACCTTCACTTGGTGGTAACTTGTCGTGTGCCTGGCAGGTCCGTGCGAGAGAGGGAGAACCATAGTCGCAAAAGTGCCAGCTCCTGTGATGTCTCATCCAGCCCTTCCCTGCCAAGTCGTGTGCTGCCCACTGAAGAAGTGAGGAGCCAAGCTTCTGATGACAGCTCTCTGGGCAAAAGTGCCAACATCCTGATGATCCCACACCCCCACTTGCACCAGTATGAAGTCAGCAGCTCCTTGGGCTACACCAGTACTCGAGGTCAGTGCTGACGCAGGGCAGATCTGGGCAGCTAGGGACAGCTTTTTTTCTATAGGCAGGGATAGGAGTAGCGGGGAGTAGTCAGGGTGGGGGGTGAATTCCAAATCTTAATTATTCCCACGGCAGTGAAAGTGGCACAAATCAGATGGTAGGTATGTGTGTATTACACTGTTTTTGTCCGTATGCTTTCTTACCTATCATAACTGTATAATTTTCCATATGTTAATATGGAGCTTTCTGTAGGCCCAGGATGAAAGGGGTTGGTTTGCTTATCTCCTTAACATTTCCATCTGTGCCATACTTAAATAGCCTGTGTCCTATACAGTCATCCCTCCACATTTGTGGTTTCTGCACCCACCGATTCAACCATCTGTTGTGCCGCGGATTTAGCTCAGTGGCATAGTGCCTGCCTCGCAAGGGCAAGGTCCTGAGTTTGATCCCCAGTAACAACAACAACAACAACAACAACACCAACAAAAATTCAACCAACTTTGGACAAAAATATTCAATAAAAAAGTTGAGTCTGAGCCGGGCATGGTGGCGTACACCTGTAATCCCAGCACGTAGGAGGCTGAAGCAGGAGGATCACTGTGAGTTCAAGACCAGCCCGGGGTACATAGTGAGTTCCAGGTCAGTCTGAACTACATAATGAGACCCTGTCTCAAAAAACAAAACAAAGAACAAAAATTGAGTCTGTACTATATACTATATATGTACTGAGTATTTTCTTGTCTGTTCCTAGTAACACGCATACACACCCACACCCACACCCACACACACACACACACACACACACACACACACACATACACACACCCATACCCATACACACAGAGGCAGCCAAACAGCCAGGCAGCCAGATAGATCACGTCCTATTTATATAACACTTTGTATGCGTGTGTGCATGCACATGTGCACGCATGTGTGCGTGTGTATCTGTTTTATATTTATCTTTTTCCTGGTTCAAAGCATGAAAAAGAAATTTCAAAAGAGATAGGAACAGATACTTGATTATATATATAGATATGTTATTTCTATTAGTTTCTTCTAGAAGTATATATATATTTTGGTACTGGGAATTGAACTTGGGACCTTGCACTTGCAAGGCAGGTGGCAGAACCACTGAGCTAAATCCCCGGCCCTGACTTAAATAGTCTTATATAATGTTTCTCACATCAAATTTTGTATTCAAAGGAATTTTAATACCCTTGAAATTTTTAAGTGAGCTTTGTCCCATTTTTGGAAATGTTTCTTTGTATAACAGCTATTCTCATTTTACTGATAATATTCCTAGACAGGTCCATAACAAAGGGTCAATTCAATGTTAATAACCTTTTTTATTCTAAAAATCAAATCTCCTCTGGGGACATCAGTTTGCTCTTTATTCCAAGTAGCTTTGAAATAGTTTTGTTTTTGTTGTTTTGATTTTTTTTTTGGTACCAGGGATCAAACTCTGGCCCTTGTGCTTGCAAGGACGGTGGCGGAACCACTGAGCTGAATCCCTGGCCCTTGTTTTTGTTCTTTAAAATTATCTCAATAGTAGAATTAATTTCAATATCCTTTAGAAATATTTAAGAGCCTGTTTGAAAATCCAAAGAACAATTCACTGGAATCTTGTATAGCACAATTGATGGGCCTTCATTTTCTGTTATATACTTACCTTTTCGTTAATTGGGTTTTCTTCTTTTTGCGGATTGGGTACTAGGAACTAAACCTAGGGAGCACTGAACTACATCCTCAGCCATTATCATCATCATCATCATCATCATCATCATCACCGTTGTTGTTAGTATTACTACTACTGTTGTTGTGTAGACAACAACAGTAATTTTTTGTTTGGTAAATCAGAGCATCACTTCATTAATTTACTGTGAAAAAGCTTTCATGGACCCTTGAATGTTCTTTTCTTGCAAATCAGCTTGAGGGCTGAAATATGACATGTAAAGTTCTCTGCTAGACATATTTGGCCTGGCATGGTGGCACAAGCCTGTAATCCCAAGCACTCGGGAGGATGGCTGCCAGATTGAGGCCGCAAGGGCTACATGGTGAGTTTAAGTGCATACTTTGTCTCAGAAACGTCAAACAAGCAACCCAGCCAAAAATCCCTGGATTCTTTGATGCCACTTTTAATCTGGGTGGTTGCTTAATGAACATAGGGTGCAGAGAAGGGGCATTGGATTTCAGCTCTGATTCATTCAGGTTATGTAGGATTCTGCCTCTACACCATAATTGCCCATTGGGTCAGACAGATTGTGTCTAAATATCATAACATCTTCTTGGCTGGTTAAGGCTGCGTATATTCCATTTATTTATTCTTTTTTTCCCCAGGATTCTGTTTGTTTGTTTAGTTTTTTGAGAGAGTCTTGCTGTGTGGTATAGGCTGGTGTTGAACTCATGATTCTCCTGCCTCAGTCTCCCAATTACTGGGTTTACAAATATAAGCCATTATACTCACGTTCCCAAAAAGTATTTGTTTGGTTCGATAAAATAACATGTCATTGCTTACACATGTCCCAGTATACCGAAGCAATGGGAGAAGGTATTGATCCTCTCAGTCGTTCAGAATGGATCTAGGTTCTTTTTATCCTAGGATGCCATAGTCTTCAACATTGGTCTCCAAAGTTGTCATGGAAGAGGAAAAGAGAATGGAGATCATTATGGAGATATTTGTGGTTTGGACCTGGAATTGTGTCATGTTACTTCTACCCATGTTCCATTGACTAACTCATTTTGCTTCAGTTCAAAGGGGCACAGAATTGTAGTCTCATTGTGTCCAAAGGGAAAAATCAGATGTGTTTAGTGAAAGTAATTGAACGTGTTTTGTTTCTCTGTAGGTTAACATTTATTTATTCATTTTTTTCATTCCTTGGTATTTATTATATCCAAGATTCTTGTTGGCCTTGGCTTGTCAGTCTGCCTAGCTCTGATTTCATTGTTACTTTTGTGCTTTGTCTTTGTGCCTTAACACTGTGACTCTTGGCAGATGTTCTGGAGAATATGATGGAGCCACCCCAGCGAGACTCCAGTGCACCAGGGAGGTTCCATGTAGGCAGTGCAGAGTCCATGCTACATGTCCGACCTGGTGGATACACACCCCAGCGTGCGCTGATTAACCCCTTTGCCCCTTCACGAATGCCCATGAAGCTGACGTCTAACAGACGGCGATGGATGCACACGTTTCCTGTGGGTAAGTTGGCTGCCAGGAGAGAGCCTTGGACTTTAAGTGCCCAGCCCCGGTCTTCAGCGCTAATGAACTATGTGTTATTGGTTTAGTGCCTACAATTCTCCGAGCCTCTGCGGTTCCACCAGTACAGTCATGCCCACTTTGCTTCTTTTGGTGATTCTCATGAGGATCCTTGAAGACACAGTTGAGTGTAGGCTTTATAATTGACAAGCTATATTAATTTAAGAGTTTTTTTTTTTTTTCTTTTACTTGAAAGCGACTCTGCTTTACTACCTACCTTCTTTCCTAAGATTTAACATCCCTCCTCATTCATTTCCGTTTGTTTGTTTTGTTTTTGTTTGTTTCTTTTTTTTTTTTGAGACAGGGCCTCACTCTGTAGCTCAAGTTGGCTTTGAACTCACTATGTAGCCCAGGCTGGCCTTGAACTCATGGTGATCCTCTTGCCTCACCCTCCCAAGTGCTGGGATTATAGGCCTGCGCCACCATGCCCAGCTTTCATTCATTTCTTTTAGCTCACTCTCTCCTTAGATATTGAGGTTACTATTTTGGCAATAGTAATGTTACTTTTATCTTCTGTCAAGGTCAATAATGAATAAAGAAAAATATTTTTAATTAACTATTTTTGGTAACTTATGCTTTTTGATCTGTAATGTCCTTGGAAAGATGACAGTAAGGTTTTATAAAGCTAGAGCTACATTAAACGTCAGCTTAATGGGCTCTTTCTGGCTGGGAATGAACAGGTGCATTAAACTCCAGGGCCTCTTTTCTGTTTGTTTGTTTTTTAATGGAAACTGCCCTGCTGAATGCTTGAAAATGTTCATTTTCTTTTGTACATGCTTTCACTGTATAAAAGCTAAGTGAGAAATGAACCTGGCTCATTTGGCATAATTGCGAGTCATCCTCAAACCCTCTTAGCCCGTTTTCTTTGTTATAATCACACCACTTGTTTCTTTTTGGTGCTTTTTCATTTCCATTGTTATTCCTACTGGTCTGTTCAGGGTCTCTCAGGAGAACAGTTAATGTTCCTTTCGTGGTCTTTAGCTCTTCTTGTATTTGTGCTTTTCTTCTTCCCACTCTTCATGCACACATTACTATGATAATAGTCTCCAAACACAGTTGAGTTTGTTTCATCCTCTGCACATCTTCCCCTGTAGATAGCTAAGGCCTTTCTTTGCTAGACTTCCCATTTTTTAGTCTCCTCATTTCCATTTTAGAGGCTCTTTTCTTTCTAAACTAATGGAGTGGTTTTCTGCACACTTCTTTTCTGTTTGTTTTTGTTTTTTTGATATAGGATCTCCCTGTGTAGCCCAGATTGGCCTTGAACTCACAGTAATCTTCCTGCCTCAGCCTCCCAAATGCTGGGATTACAGGGATACATGCCTGGCTTGCATACTTCTTGCCTCTTTCTCATTTTGGATTTCACAAATATAATTTCTTTTACCCACATGCCCTCTCCATTAACCTTATTTAACACTTAGTTTCAAAACTAACTTCTAGGAGGCTTGTTTCAGTAGACTTGACTAATTCTGATCCTTCTTACTCTTTTTGTACTTAAGTATCTCCTACTTCTTAGAGTCACACTGGTTATTTTCTTAAGTAACAACAGAATCATGTGATGTTTTGTAAGTGTTTCCGTTTCAGTTAGTTTGTATTAGCCTTCCTATCCTTTTATATTTCTCTAGGAGGTTTCTTGGCATGCACAAGACAGAACCTCCTAAAATACTCTTAAAAGACTGGACAGGATGATAAACATGATGTCACCAGTCGGGTAGGTCCTGTTTGGAGGAGGATGACTCCTCTGGGAGCCAGAGTGTCCCTTGTAAATATGTTCATCTGTGGTGTGCTGTTTGTTGCATCTTTCCAACACCTGTTTCCCAGAAGCTGGAAAGAAGGAAAATTGCAGTTAAGTGCACAGCATGAGCTGTCAGGTGGGAATGATGCTCAGTGGCTCTTTGTCTGGGTAGGACCATCCGGAGAGGCAATCCAGATCCATCATCAGACCCGACAAAATATGGCGGAGCTTCAGGGCAGCGGGCAGAGGGACCCAACTCACTCCTCTGCAGAACTATTGGAGTTAGCGTATCATGAAGCAGCTGGAAGGCGAGGATATGCCCAGGGCTCTGGAAGGTAACTTGAGAACTCTCTAGCGGCCAAGACAATGTTGAGAACAGACCGTTGACACAATGTCATGTTCATAAGTCTTAAACAGACATTTCAAGTCTGCATTTGCAATTTCCCCGGGCAAATTGCAAAGCAGATAGCCTGACATTTGTGCCTGTGGTATTATTGCTTAGGCCCTGCTTTAGATTTATGGTTTTTTCCTTTTGAAATGGCTGTGAGCAAACCAAGGGCCTTATACATACTAGGCAAACATTCTAACACTGAGCTATATCCCTAGCCCTTTAGTTTAAAAAAAAAAATTAATTAAGAAAAATCTTTAGATTATGTTTTAAAATATTTTTTAAAATAAAACATTTATTGGTACTTTTTTTTGTTGTTGTTGTTGTTGAAGGGATTGAACTCAGGTCCTTGTACTTGAGAGGCAGGCACCAGAACCACTGAGCTAGATCCCTGGCCCATATTGGTGCATTTTAGTAATACATAATGATAGCACTCATTGTAGCGTAGCCCTTTAGGTTTATCTTGAGGTTATACTTTGTAAACTTCAAATACAGGTTTTTTTTTTTCTTTCAAACCTCAGCTAGGGATGAAAATGAGAGAGAAAAGACACGGAGTTTGGGTTGCGAGACGGGTGATCCATATTGTTGCTTTGGGTAGCCTCTTCGGTAGATTTTTTTTTTTGATTTTTGGAGACAAAGGTCTCACTTGGTAATGTAGGGTAACCTCAAACTCCTGGTAGTCCTTCTATCTCAGCCTCCCGAGTGCTGGGATTACAGGCATACACCACCACACTTGGCGCCATGACTTTTGCTTTTTTATTTTCTTATTGATTTATCCATTGATTTAATTTTGAGACAGGATCTTACTGCGGAGCCCAGGCTGGCCTTGAATTTTCAGTAATCCTCTTGCTTCAGCCTCTTGACTTCTGGGATTATAAGCTTTTGCCACTGCACTCAGCACACTATTGGGTTTAGAATAAGTTAATGCTAAATGCAATGGAAATCAAAGCCTGTGCTTATGGAAACAATTGTTTTTGACCCAAACCTCTGAATGTGTTATGGTATCTAAAGAGGGTCAGCATAGAATTTAGTGTGGTGGTACACAACTTTAATCCCACCCTCTGGAAGGCAGAGAGGTATGAGAACTGCAAGTTTGAAGCCAGTGTGAAGGCCCTTTGTTCAATACCCAGTACTGCAAAAGGTGGTGGGGTTGGGGTAGAGGAAGATGGTCAGTATAGGAAAAAAGTGTGAAAGCGAAGAAAGACTTGAAAAACACAAACCTGGCTTACACCTAGGCTCACTATTCTTGCATTGCTTTAGGAAATACTTTGCAAAGAGCAAACTCTGATCCCTCTTGTCAAAGTAACCTTGTCATCCTATGGGGTTCGTGGGGACTCTGGGCAAGGTATGGTCCTCTTTACCAGATTAACTGTGGTACATCTATTCAGACACTTCATTTCCATCCTTGTTAGTAAGGGAAGGCATAAGACAGGAAGAGCAGGTGGTCCAAATGCTGAGAAAGCATTTGGGTACCAAGGCAGGAGGCCAGAGTTGGCACACAAACGAGGCACTATTGCCTGATGGCTTGAGATCTGGATCCCAAGGGTTACCAGGCTGTGTAGCTGAATATTCAGGTCTGTTTTTCATCAGATCCTCTTCCCCTTCCCAAACCAGTGCAGGCTAAGCAGGAAAAAAGAGATGATGATCTGCATTAAGCCCGGTGGCTGGGCTCTGTTCTCTGCAGGCACAGCAGTTCTCCCCAGCCTGGTGACGGCATTTCCTTCTTGAACTTCAGTGGAACAGAAGAGCTTTCTGCCAGCCTGCTTAGCAACAGTGGTGCAGGTAATTCATCTGAGAGGTAACAGAGTTGGGACACTCAGAGCAGGCTCACATCTAGAAGGCCAGAAAAGCGGGGTCATTTCTTTTCAGGACCATTTCAGCCACAAATTTGGGTGACCTATTTAGAAACAGTGCTGTATAATGCATGGAGTTATAGATGGGCTGCACATTCCATTTTTAGCTGAGAACATGTTGGTCCGGCCACATTTATCATTGTTCTGTCAGGAAGTTGTGATTGAGGGCTACTAGGAGTGGACAGCAGAGACAGAGCTGGACAGTTGCTGCTCCAAAGGTGCTTTCACCTTTTGGGGGCAGGGAGCAAACCCATCCTCAACAAAGCAGGCAGCAGAGACCTACAGGGGGATAATACAGTTCCATTTATAAGATCAGAAAAGTAAGCAGTGAGCATGCCTTTCAGGATTGAAAAATTGAATTTGGTTGAATAAACTTAGAAAGATTCCAAGTGCAGGTGGTAGGTGATTGGAATATGAAATGGACTTGGTTTTATTCTTTCTGGGAGCACTTTTATATCTGTTACTTGATCATCCTAGTAGGGCATAAGTTACTAAATATATTTTATAATCAAGTGACATAGTGCCTTGAGCTGTGGAAATATTAGACTAATCTCTCACAGCAGTAGCCAGGTATCCTGACTCGTACTGCTGTCCTCATTTCACCACTGTATTCCGAGCACCTCTGAGTGTGTAAGGGAACATGAGTGTGAGTAGGTGGAGGCAGTTTATGTACAACCTCAGGATAGGTAGGAGGTGTGATAGAAAAATACGGTGAATATTTAATTTTTCTTTCTTTAAATTACCATAAATGACATGGTCATTAATTTCCCCCGAAAATCCTCCCCTCACTTGAGCTACACTCGTCCCTTCATTCTTGCCACTTTCTGAAGCGGCTCTGGAGTCCTCTTTCATGTCTTTAGTTGCACTGTTGTGGCTGCCTTGATGCCCTGAAGCCATTAAAAATATTTACCTTTCGCGGTCATTTTTACTTTGGGAAGGGCCAAAAGTCGCATGGTGTCAGATCCGATGAATAAGGTAGACGAGGGCACGCTGTAGCGTTTCTCTAGCATGTCTTTCCGTTAGACGGCTCTCAGCAGTGTCATTCATTGTATTATCTGTCATACCTTATAGATATCCGAGAGAGGACTTTTAGAACTGCTTCAGAAAGTGGCAAGAAGGGTGGATAAATGAGTTTGAAGTGAGGGGTGTAGTTTGAGGGGGGATGATGGCAGTGTGTCTTTTACTGTAATCAGTTTGAAAAATTTAAACAGCTTTTTTTTTTTTTTTTTTTTTTTTGGTACTGGAGATTGAACTTGGGTCTTTGCGCTTGCAAGGCAGGCCACCGAACCGCTGAGCTAAATCCCCGGCCAGCAACATATTTTTTGATCAGACTTTGTTATTATTCAAAGTAAGTATGGAAATGTTAATACAGAAAAAGAAAAAAATGGGGCTGCTACTTCATGCCTTAATGTTCTCTACATTAACTTACATTTCTAAAACTTGATTTAAGGAAGGTGTAGTGAAAGTGAAGTTGTATAAAATTGATTAATAATATTTTTCTTAATTTATTGGTTGATTCTTCCAGTAATAATCCTAGAGGCCTGTGGGTAAGGCCTGGGGACTGGGTAGGCAGTAAAGAGAATTCCAAAATGATTGTAACCTCATTCATTCATTCTTTTAAATGAGAGAACAAACGAATAAGAATTTGAGGGTGAGAAGACATTTTATGTCCTTGTACTCAGGGTGTATTCAGATGTCATCTGGCTGTCAGACCCTCTCACTGCCTTCAGGAGAAAAAAGAAAAAAATAAACGTAAAACAAAAAAACACATGAAGTACCCTCAGAGTGATACATTTCTACCAACCATTGCTTGATGGGTGATGGCTTTCTTATTTTTAAGGCTTGCATAACTAAAATCTGAAGGAATCACACCAAGTTTGGCAGCTAATAAACCAACTCCTTCAAACATCTCCAGAGTTTCCTTTTGCAGAATAAAAGCAGTATGCATAATTTTTTCTTTCTGGCATCCAAGAGACCTTTTTCCACACTTGTGTGTTTTTCCCTGAAATCTTACCGTTGTCACTGTGTTTGGGTTACTAGCACTGTAATTCTGTTTGGGGAAAGATTTGGTATCTACAAGGTTTCCAGACTTCTTGTTGACAAAATGATGGACAGCTTTTCTGTGGTCTTTGTATCAGGTTTAAAGGTAAATTTGGAATTTTTCTTTCTTAGCATCTAAATATTTAAAAAACTCCAACGCTTCTTCAGCTACCAAGTGACACAGTTCCTTATATTCAAGATTTGGTTTTACAACAATTTCCGTGTTCTTTCCCATAGTTATTGAGCAAGGAAATTGCTGCCTACTAGCACTATGTAAACTACCCTCTGTTTTTTGTCACAGATTCTGCCTGATGAAAATTCGGGGAATTGTTCAGTTGACGCAGTTCTTGAATTTCACTTCTCATTTATATCACAGGCAAAGTGCTGCAGTAATTCTCTAGTTTTTTCATCTAAAAGTGAGCTTAATACATCAGCTTTTTCTTCTTCACGTTTGGATATCCTGTCATCGATAGTATCTTTTTTTTTCCTGAATCTGATTATTTTGGTCACTACTGGAGCAAATGGCTGAAGTATTATCTTCTTGGTTACTTCTGCCCTTTTCAAAGGACAAATTTTGAAGATCTAATTTGGTTTTTTGGCAAAATGATTCATCTCTGGTAGCATTTTACTAACCAAAACAGGTTCATTCATGTTCGTATTAACTAATTGTCCCTGTTCATTAATCTCAATAACAATAAAGTCACTTGGTGAGCTTTTTATAGTATCCCAAAATCCAACATGCTCATTAATGAAACACAAAGAACTAAACCAGATTCTATTATCTGTATCCTCTTCCTTTCTACGTAGCAGTCCTGAACCAATTTGGCAAAATGCTTACCGTCTTGATCCTTTCCACTGTGTCATACAAACATTACAGCAAATTCTCTGTATCTTCAATTTGTCCACATGGAGCGTTCCTCAGCTCTACAAAGTGACCTCAGAGTGATACAAAGGCAGTGTTTAAAGGCAGAGCCTTTAAGAGAAAAAACAAACAAGTTTAAACTTTCTAGACTGTTTGGAATAGAATTGCACGAATAGGGGCCCTCTAAGGCTTCGTGGACTGCACCTTGAGCTGGTTTCACTGTTGATCTGAAGCAGGGGGATTACAGATTTAGGTGGCAGCAGAACCAGCATCTGCCCAGGGTAGTGTGGTGGCTTAGAGTAACCTGGAAGTAACAAGTCTTTAGGAATTTACAAACTCTGCTCCGGGGGAAAAAGTGAGCGTTCAAAGAATCCTCATTTGGATGGTTATTATAGATCCTTAGGTGCCACTGTCCTGGAGTCCTCTCAGCTTAATTTCCTGGCACATACACATTAGAAAAGTGTAGCAGCTTCGATTTCTGCTTCAGTCTTATCCCATTAATACTTCTGAGCCATGGATCTGCCTTTCTGCTTTCCAGTTGGATGATTCCTAAGTATCTCATCTTTAATGTATTAATGTACCTTACCGCACCCACCCTTCTTCCTCTGTTACCTCTTTCATCTGATGTTGTTTCCTTATCTCCATTCTCACTGCTTTTGTTCAAGGCTCCATCATTCTGTCAGTATAATTTCAGCAGTAGTGTTCAAATGATGTTCCTTCTTGTATCTTCTGATTTATCAACCATACCTTCACCGGTGTGATATTTCCAAGAGTCAACTTGATCAGCTTCTGCTTTCCATGTATAAACCCTTCAGTATTTGTTTTGTTTTGTTTTTCGAGTACTGGGATTAAACTCAGGGCCTTTGCATTGACCTATAGCCCCTCCTCTTTTAAAAATTGTTTAGTTTGAGACAGGATCTCAGTAAGTTACTAAGTTATCTTAGGCTAGGCTCAAACTTGTGATCCTCTTGCTTCAGCCTCCCACCACGCTTGGATTACAGGCATGTGTCACCATGCCTGGTGTCCTTCAGGGGTTCTTCAAGGCTTACAGTGCTACCTATGACATGGCTCCCTTTATATTTTCACCTACCTCTGTCACCAAATGGCATTCTATATGGAAAAAATGCTGGCCTTAGAATCTTAGGATATGAGGTCAAACTCTACTTCTCATGTGCTCTGGGGGCCTGGGGCCAGGTACTTAACCTGTGCATTAAGTTTCCTTTATCATGAGGAGGATACTTGTGCATAGTATAGTGTGACAACCCACATAAATGCTTCAGACAGTATCTGGCACTCATGGTGATGGCTCAACAAATAGGAGCTTTTGGTGATTCATACCTGTAATTCCAGCACTTGGAAAACTGAAGTAGGAGGATCACAAGTTTAAGGCCAGCCTGAGTTACATAGTGAGACCCTGTCTCAAAACAAAACAAAACAAACCCCCGAAAACCCAAATTGGAGCTATTGTTATTGTTGGTATATGAGTATATTTAATATTCTAGCTATTGCTATGGCTTCTCAAAAGAACTTTGTACTTGTATTCTTTGCCTAGTCTAGAACCTCCGTATAGGAGTGTTCCACCCCTGATTCTGTCTTGGAAGTGTCCACTGAGTCTTTAGGACTCAGCTCCAACAATATCTTCTTTTTGGAGCCTGCTTTGGTGATTCCTTCTCTCCTCATGTCCTCCCAGAAGAGGTTAGGCGTGTCTCCACACAGCCACGTATGCATAATCCTATTGCATAAGTTGGTACATCATGAGACCAGTGTTTATTTTCACGTCTGTCTCCTCATGTATTCATTGCTTTTCTGTTGCTGGGACAAAATATCTGACAAATACAACTTAAAGGAGGAACGGTATATTTTGGCTCATGGCTTTAGAGGTTTCAGTCCATTATTTACATGTTTCCTTGCTGTGGGTCTGCGGTGATCAGAATGTTATGGCAGAAGACCCTGGTAGAGCAAAGCTGCTTACCTCATGGCACCCAGAAGCAGAGTGAGGGAAAGAGCCAGAGAGGAAGGGGTCAGGA